ATGTTTCTTTCCTTTTAATGGTCACCAAGGAGGCAGTGCCCAAAATAGGGTTTTCTTCTATTTTGATGCAACATTACATCAATTTTAATAATAAAATAAAAGTATCATGCATATTCAGAAAAATGTGACTAGCAAAAGTCTTCAAGCCCATGGAAGTTCAGAGTCATACCTTAAAAATGCCAAAATGTAAACAAGAGATAACTGTACTGAAAAAAAGTTTATTTCCATTTCCGATACCTTTTTACATAAATCAGAATAATCAATTTACTGATATTTTCTATTATTAACTAAGAAAATTGTCGAGATAGGAAAAATATCAATAGAACAATTTTAAATGTCCAATTTGATCCATGCTGAGAGTCTGAACATAGTGAGTGATTGAATCTGACAAACTGCAATGATATTAGCTTATTTCCATTTTTGAAACTTTATTACACAATACACGATAACAGGTTTACCATCATTTTATATAATCAACTAACATTGTTGAGATGCAGAAAATGTAAATAAAAAAACACAACGAATCTAATTATTTCAATAATGAGAATGTTAACATGCCTAAGAATTAAAATTGAGGAAAAACCAGTTACATATATATTCAAAAAAGGCATAACTTCATCAAAACTAAACCGATCAAGCTTCTTTTCAAACTCGATCTGTATATTAGTCAGATTGATCACTTCTGTGAGTTGCAAGACAACAGGCTAATTGGTTCTCCTTGAAATGTGTTATCAGTGTTGCATATATGCTGAAAAAAGCATAAAAACAGCAAAACTATTTTAAAAATGGTCCCATCAAGCTGATTTTCGAACTCGACCCTGTATTTTAGTAAGATTGATCACTCCTGTAGGTTTCAAGACAATATATATAGGCTTTTCGGTTTTCCTTGCAATGAGTTATCAGTGTTGCATGGTATTCGTCTTCAATTTCCCCTTGGGTACACAAGCGATATATTCCGACACACCTTTCAGTTTTTGGCCTGGTGTGCCGCTCAGTTTCGATGTGGGGTTTATGGTCGCTAAGAGGTAGCTTAGCAAGGGTTCATAAAGTGTCATAATTTGTTATTGTATCAACATAAATTGCCCTTTCACATTTTTGGTTAAGTACAGGAAGAGAGCCATTTTACTGTTGGATTGAAGTTTACTATTGCGTATTTGGGTATAGTGGTCCATTTGTCTCTGTTTGAAAAATGTGGTGAATTGAGGTGACTGGCTAAGCCACACATCCCCAAGGCCAAATGTGAAAAGGAATTTTCAGATCCCCTCAGACCACGCCATGCAAGCCGGTCTGAAGGAGTGTACTACAGGTGGAACATAGGGTGTCAGCAACTTGTTACTATTTACCTCATGTATGCATGCTTGTTTCGTTAATGTATCATCAGACATTTGGATAATTTTACACCATAGTCTGATAGCTTAATGGACTGGGTTAGTATCAAATACTACTTAATATACTCGTACATCAAGTGACATAAATTGCGTCATACTTTTAGACGATACCTCTCACTCTTTTGCATATACTGAATTTAACAATTTAGATTTAATGCCATTTTCATCGTGGCATGCAAGAGAAAAATGGATTTTTATTCCTGATACCCTTTACCCCCTACCCATGGCAAACACCAGTCCAGAGTTGGTGGGGCTCGGGTCAGTCTTTTCTCTCCTCTAGACTAATATTGAAGTCTTTTAGCAAGGATTAAAACTAAAATAAAATATAAAAATGATGTGGTCATTTCAGTCAATGCTACGAAGGCGTACATTGCCGTGTTCATTACTTAACTTCGGCTAGCTTTCACCCTGCGGAATATCAACAAAAGTGGAACAAATAGGAGAAAATAAACATAGAGCAATTACGACCACTTGGTTGTGGATAGTCTGTATCCAGACATATATATTCAGAAAGCATATGCACCTACTTTTTGTATTACCAGTGTATTCTCTTTTATCTGAAGCTTCTTGAAATGTGGAGAGGCACAGTGAAAATAGCAATAACCTGGCATATCTAATTATGTGGATAGGTCGGGCAGCTTCCATTTTCCCATAATCTTTGAACATGAATAATAAAACCGGTTTCATGTAAGCCATCTAATTTCAAGATTAAAAACATCAAACATCAAATAAAGCGCTGCTTTTTAATAGGTTATTGATAAATAATTCTGGAAATCCAATTTCATTTATCATTGAAATAGTTTTATAAGCATAATATCACTCTGAAATGTAAGCTAGAATAAAACTGAATATTTTCGATCATTGTCATCTAGTTCATTGACAAAATGTGTCATTCCCCGGTCACTGAAGTGACATTTTACAATGCCAGTTGCCTCTTTTAATATTTACGTAGTTTTTATTTAACTATTTCTACTTTTTATTTATGTTTCACCACAATCAAGTGACCTCTTATTTCCCTCTATTTTGAACCAACCAAATAATATATTTTTATCTATTTATCTATCTATCCATCTTGCTCCCCTTGGGTGTATCGTGTTGGCATCACCAGCTCTTGTTTTAAAAATCAAATTATATTTAATGTTGTTTTCAACCATTTTCTCTTTGCCTTACCTCCAGTGAGCGTTTGATATTCAATCCACATTTCATTCTCCTGATCGACACCAGCATCTTCATCTCAATCTGACATTTCTATCATCAAAGATTGTTTATAAGAATTTTTTTTAAATGTAAAAATGTTTCTGCTTAGCTTTTCTACATCTGTTTTTCCCACTTCTCACATGAGTTTCTTCATTTTCAGCACTTTATCACAGTATTTTTCTTTTATCATACAGATGAACAAATTTACGTGTATGCAGGTCACGTCAAACTGGCTCTGCCTATAATGCTACCCTCGTGTTCATTTGGCACATTTCATTTCATTTCATGAATATTTCCTGTGTCATCGCAAAGAACTCTTCGTTGTAGATATGTGAAATGGAACAGATCAGTACAATGATGTATTAAGCCATATGAGCAACCCGTTACTGGGTTAACCTATTTGTGGTCAGTGAGTAATGTATCTGCAGCTATATGCTGATGTAATATTGTAAAGCGCTGCTTTTACGTTGTATGCTGTATAATATCTGTGAAGCAGGTAACAGTTTGTCAGCAATTGACTGTAGCCTCGTGGTAAATTCCTCAAAAGTTCCACTTGATGTTCAGACAATTTTGGAGATGCAATAAATCAATTTTTTTTTCTTAAAAGGATTCATCAATTAAACAAGTATTCAGTCTCAGCAATGGATAATTCCTGAATCTGCCATTTGGTTTAAGGAATTAGGAATCAATTCAAAATGTCAGTGTGGATATATGGTTCCTGTGTTTTCGTCGTCATCGGGAGTTAAAAAAAATACACGCAACTGATCAATGCCCGATGGCTGTATTAATTCACCATTACAACCCACTACTCATTCTCTGTGCCACATGGCATTGGAAGTAGGGTTGTTTCAGACCCCCCCTCCTCGTTTCCCCTCCGCATTCCCGTTTTTTTTTTTTTTTTTTTTTTTTTTTGTATGAATTATACTGGTACGGAAGAACAATGACACACACACACACACACACACACACACACAAAGACACTTAGATTAAAAAAAAATAAATGAACTAACATTATATTATCCGCCAAAATGGTTGAAGTAGCGTTTGTTGTTTCCTAGCACCAACAGTTACAGGGATCCATGTAATTACAGTACATATGGCAGACATTGCGTTAAATAAGATGACGAAAACCGTTGATGAAACAGGAATACAAAAGTGGTGCTGACTTTCAATTACTCTGTTTCGATGAGTAACAGTGTATTATGTTCTTCATGAGGGATACCTTAGCATGGCGCACGCTTGTCACCCTTACTGTCCCTCAGCTGTAACAACGACCTACCAGCTGCAATTTTCTCTTTCACACCATTTTTATGCGGGGATGTCAACAAAACCAGGTCTAAAAAGATAAGTATTAGATGTTAGTATGGTTTGATTTATCTGACGTTCAAACCATTTCATTTAGGATTAATACGAAGTTTATTTAATTGAGATCACTCGTTGTCATTAATATGTAACGATCGATATCAGTGTAATTTACTTGAAATGTTCTCACCAAGTAATTTATAAAAATCCTGACAGCCTTTCTCTCTTCAATATAAAAGTACTTAACATTTTGGTAGTTTTGGGAGCGATTCTTTAAATCCGTTTGTAAACCATGCAGGCTGAAGTATTAATACCGTTTACCATTTTTTCTTGATATTCTAGAAAGTTTGTCCGGATACTGTAAAGCTTAAATCTTCCTTCTTGGGTGAAGAAAGTTCATGGTTGCGTGTCTTTAGAAGCTCCCTTATATTAGATATACGTTATTTAAATCGATGGCTATAACAAATAGCCTTTTTATCTTTTCTTAACGCTTCTTTATACCAGATTTTTTCTTCTCCCATAAATTATTTTCATTGACCCTGAGTTTTTTCCACGAAAATACAACGTAATACGTCCACCCAGAAATTATTTCGGCAGCCATTAAAACATATATTCATATATTCATTATCGCTCCCCTCACATAAATCAACATTTATACCCATATCCTATATTGACCTACTTACGTAACTTTGTATGACACGTACACGTTCTACAGATCATTTGCCACTCCTGTGGCAAATCTATACTCGTGTTTGTCCGAATACACTATACGGTAAAGTCTAGTTCTTCCTTCTTGGGTGAAACAAGCTAATGGTTATGTGCCTTTTGAAGCTCCCCTGTATTAGATATACGGTCATATACCTTAATTATTTAAACCGATGATTATAATAAGTAGCCCTTCTATCTTTTCTTAACGATTCATTATACCAGACTGGTGCGTCCATCACAGATTCTTTCTCCACCCATAATTTATTTTCATTGACCCTGATTTTTTATTTCCACGCGGCAGTCATTAAAACATATATTCATATATTCATTATTGCTCCCCTCACATATGTCAACATTTACGTCCTTATCTTATAATGACCTAGTTACGTAACCCTGTATGCTACATGCATGCACCAGTTCGGTGATTTCTTACATAAGTTTTCTACAAAGCATATATGCCACTCCTGTAGCGTATCTATACTCAAGCCAGAAACACGCCATTCAACCGTGGACTGTAACACTGACACAGCTATAAAATGACTGCTGACACGTGTTTCGTTTAAGCCTGGGGGTTTCAGCCAGCGTTTGAACGCACCTGTGACTACTCTCCTCAAATTCCGACAGACTGTTGTTAAAATGGATTTTCCTCAACCGAACCTTAACGAAAACATAACCAAGGGCAGATTTAAGGGACACGTGGCAGTGGTGACTGGCGGAGCGTCTGGTATTGGGAAGGAGTGCGTCAGGCGATTTGCCAACGACGGGGCCTCAGTGGCATTCTTGGACATCAACAAAGACGGAGGTCGGAAGTACGAGGCAGAGGCACAGAGTGAGGGACATGACGTCACGTTTTTTAACGTTGACGTCTGTGATAGAGAGCTGTGCTTTGCGACACTTGATACCATAGCGCAACGGCATGGCGGCAGCATTAACTACCTTGTGAACTGTGCTGCCTGTTTTATTTACAAAGGTTAGTCCTTTGCCGCTTTTACACCAACACCATCTATATCCTGCATCTCATCGACGGATACTTCATACCACTTATTCTGTGTTTTATTTATTCATTCATTTTATTTTATTTTATTTTATTTTTCAATTTTGACTCAAGGGGAAAATATTTCATTTTATTATATAACTGAGAGAGGAGAGGAACAGACGCCATGCAGACGTGCTTACCTGGTGTCAAACCACAGATATACTAACGATTCCAAAATATTGCAGAATAGAATCGCCTGTACAGTCACAGTTATAACATATAATACAACTGACTTGTATAAACTACATGAACTGTTCATAGATGATAAAAAAATTAGCACCAGCTGAAAATGTAATATTATACAATACCTGAATTGTGGCCACATTCACAACAGTGGAATAGCAGATCAGCGGATCAAATATGGCTACCTTCTTAAAAGCTTGCCGGATAATCCCCTAATATAGACACTGAGTAGATTCCCTGAGGGGATTGCGTGCTTAGCATTCAAGTGAGTCGACCATGCTTGATCCGCGGATTTGTTAGTCAGCTGTTGTGAATGCGGCACTAGGCCTTCATCACACTGTCATATATGAACTGTTGATGAATAAATATATATATTTGAGCAGGTCTAGAAGCCGTGAAGGACGATTGGGAAAGGGTACTGGCAGTTAACGTAGAGGGGTATGCTAATATGGTGCAGGCTTGTCATCCTCACATGAAGAAAGGTACGTACTGTCCCCCAACAGTAGCAACAATCTACAAGGCTCTGTTTCAACTGTTGATATTTAATAAGTATAGGCCTACTGCGGCCCATCAAAAGTTTGATAAGAAAATGGCATCCTTGTTTAACCTTGCTTCAAATGATACTACACGTATTGCAGGAAGAGGGATGGAATTTGGCTTAAATTAATCGTCGCCATTACCCACTGTCTCCTTTAAATTGAGGTGGATAAAGTTCAGGTTAAAAGAATCATCATCATATTCCACCATCTCTCTTGTTTTGTTTTTTTTTTTTTAAATAAAAATCTTCGACACGAAAACTGATCCTTTCGAGTAAGACACAGACAAAATCAATAAAATTTGAGTCCTTGAAGTCTCAACCCGTTATAGAAATGATTTTAAATGACAATATATACACTTATTTCTGCTCTTAGCAATATATCAGGCCTGCTGCAAAGTCGGAACAAATTTGCTCCTACATGTATATTAGCGCCAACTGCAATTCCTTCCTGCAATATGGCTGCAAATTAGAAGCAATAAATTATTTTTTCTTGCAAACTTCTGCAAACTCGTTGTTGCAATCTTTTTGCTGCAAACATTTCATTTAGCTAAGAGTGCTCATCGAATTTCAGCGCCTGCCGGTGACAGGTGCGTCGTCAACATAGCAAGTGGCAGCGCATTCGTGACTCAACCTAACAACTGGACCTACCAGTCCTCTAAAGGGGCAGAGGTTGAGATGTCCAAATCTATGGCCCTCAGTCTGGCCAGGTATGGTATACGAGTTGTCTCTGTGTCACCTGGAACGATTTGGACCTCATTGGTGAGTGTTGGAAAGTGTTCGACCAGGATATTCACTGATGTCAAGAAATTGGAAAGAAAAGAAAGCGTAATTCTTTTGTCTCTGCTAGTCTAACGGACAATGATTGTGATACTGAAAAGATAATTGGTATGAAAAATATTTTGTTTTTTTACCTGTTGTTTATCTGAAAGGATTCGTGATAAGCACTGTTTAATGTGCATACATCATTATTCGGTATAAGTTTTCCATTGATCTTTAAATGAAGACAGTAGATAACCATGTCAAAACCTTAGTTTTACACAATTTCATAAAGCTGGATGGCTTATAAGCTGCGTGATTTTATCGAAAAAAAATTAATTAAGGTGGTCGAGGCAAGAGCATACGGAACCATATAAGGCAAGGGCCTTCAAGTTTGCTTTAACTAATTTAAATTGCTGTAGTTATATGTATTCGTTTTAAGGTTATGATTTTTTTATTTAGATTGAAATTATTGACAGTTCTTAACACGGTCTAATCACTACGACGCTCAAGTGCGTGCCAACGGTGGACCTGACCTTTTTCTCAGAGTTAGTCGTCAAGGGCACATTTTACCAAATTTTAATTAAAACTGAATATAAAAATAAAAATTTGTAAAATGAAATGTTGGAATCGTGGTCATTGATTTTCACTATTTTTCATACTGTGCCAATATGTCATTTCAGGTCGCAAAAATTGTCGACCACGATAAAGAACTTGCCCAGTCCATCTGGGGAAAGTCGCCTATGCTAACTCGGTGTGGAGAGAGTGCCGAGGTAGCGGCCGTAGTCGCGTTTCTCTGCAGCAGGGACGCAGGGTTTATCACGGGGACAGACGTCAAGGTGGACGGTGGGTATACGGCTATTGGACCAGAGGGACACTCGGACGCTGTTGGGCGGAAACAGACACTCCATTCCAAGAGCAAATGTTGATTCGAGGACACGTCACTGATGTCACGACACGTGCCAATTAATAGCTACAATTTTGATGGTATTCACGACTGCTGCATCATTGTCAAATGCATTGGGAGTTTGCGCGGTTAGACAGTACAGCTTTGAAATAAGAACGCATGTACACGTGCTTGTTTTGATAAGGACGCGTATAGCTGAAATAGCTATTAAAATAGCTTCGATTTTGATGGAATTAATCACCCCATTTCCATAGATTAGATCGACCAACTTTAGATCGACCAAACTCCCTGGGGGTTCACGCTAAATAGCTGTCAGCCGGGCGGACACGAAAGTTAATTACCCCCTTACAGCTTGTAGTAGGCGGGACGGACATTTAAGTTGGATTATCTGAAAGTAATCTAGTGAGACTCCCCGCGGGGATAGATCGATCTAAAATCTATGGGAATAGAGCCAATGACTGCTGCACCATTGTAAAATTGGGATTTGTGCGGTTAGACAGTAATTAATGCTGTGACATAGGGCACATTCAGAACAACTTGATCTGCGGACTAACAGATCTGCGGATCAAATATGGCGCCACCCACTTGAAAGTGTACCGAGATTTAACTGCCATACCCCCGCTGTGCGTGGGAGGTGGGAATCCATTGACAAGTGGGTGCCATATTTGATATGTGGACTAGTTATTCCACGGACCAACTCTGTTGTGAATGCTCTCACAGGAACACACTAATAGTACCTAATAGTGCTAATAGTAATTTGGAGGTATGATTTTAAACAACTAATTTAATTTAGTTAAATGTGGTGACAGGATTGGTAGAATAAATATTCAAGGTATGTGGAGGTATTTTTAAAGAATTAATACTGATCACATTTTGAAGTGCATCAATTCAGAGAAAATAAGCAGGTCATTGGTGCTGGCAATTGAGCATTAAGTGTTTGAAAGATATACACGTATGAAAGAATTTACTTAAAACATGGCTTCAGACATTTAACAAAATTTGATGAAATTATATGCTTTACTATATTCAAGTCAAAACCAATAATAGTGTTATGTTACACTTACACTTGCTGCTTTACTGAAATGCAGATCACACTATTACCTCCATTAAGACAATTATTTTTTCATCGAAAAGACAGAAGAATAACCATACTCCTTTTACAAATACGTAAACATATTTCTATTTGTAATACATTCACATCAGACTTACAGTGTATGAACAATAATATAAAGTGCATATATACCAGTATATACATAGTAAACACTGGTTCTTTTTACAAACTGATAAAACAGAGTACAAAATAACAAGGAACACCTGATAAAACTCACATCATATATAAAATGGATGATCTACAAATAGATTTACATCAATATGAAAAGCAAAAACTTCTATATACGGGTAAGTACATGTAAACACCTGAAAGTACATATATACACTACCTTTAAAAAGTGTCCTTTATTGTTACTTACTGGTGATATTTGTATTAAAATTGGCATTAATAAATCTTAACTCTTAAGGAACTCTTACTATGGTAAAAATATTTGGTAACCTAAAATCCCTGTCTAGTTGTCATATTTTGGATAAATCCGTATGCTGCAGCATCAAGCTAAAATGAGATAATTGTGGATTTGCACTTTTTTTACCAAACCTTCTACCCATAGCATTGAAATTATTTATATTATATTAATATAAAAATATAAATACAGCAATGTTTAAACTGCGGTTGAAAAGTTATTTTAAGGTGATTCCTCTAAAATAAATAATTGAGCTAAACTGCAATTTTACAAAACTTTTTGGCATAAAGGTTTGTGCATAAAAAAAAAGTCACACATATGAAATCACATAAAAACAATAAAAATGACAATATTATACAGTGTATCAAATATGAGCATGACACTATATGTCATAAAATGATACAATATATCAAATACGACCATGATACTATACATAGGACATTATGACAATGATACAAAACATCAGGAAATGATACAATATATCAATAATATGACAAATATGTCTGATGCCTGCTTTCACATACAGTAATTAATACATCTCTTAGAATTGTGAGATGATGTGGCATTAGTAGAGTGTAATCAAAACATAAATGCTTTTGTATTATATCACATATAATGTAAGTTGTTTTTGGCATTATGAATAAATAAATATATCACATATCCACTGTTTTAACATATGAACTCAAACATGATTACTAACATTTTCAAGATTTTATTTTTTAATTTTTCAATGTTACAATTATTTCTTACATGATCTGAATAAATGATAGACCAAATAGTCATGAACAGAGGAGTGCATACTAAAATATCAGATTGTCTATGTGTCAGTAAACCTTGAAAAACTACCAATAAAAGTGGTCTATTCTACTGATAACATGTTCCAACTTGAACTACAGTAGATCACCTAAGAAAGTGTCCACGTGCAAACTCAAATCTCAAAGGCAGGAATAACCTCTGTCAGTTTTACAGACACAGCATGTCATGTTTAAAATAATAGAATGGATAAGCAGTAAAAACAAAAAACCATCTGACAACAGGAGTGTATCTTTCCCAGAAAATTTTACAGCTGCTATATTTCTGTCTGCCACTATGGCATCCTAAAAATCACACCAGGTGATGGATCTTAAGTAAGAACTGAGCATAATTTCTGACCATGTTTAAAACTATACTAATGCAATGTGTATTTGATATTTAAGTACAACCAAGGAGACAGTAATTTTTTTCTGAAAATTGTGTTTTTCATGAGGTCAGGTCTACATGTACCAGTATTTTCTGCAATATCCGAATACAGTATAAAATGTAAAATGTGTTACAAGCCTCCTGAGCTTTGTGAAGAAACTAAGTGTGTGCTTAGAATGGGGGCATACTGGTATAACAAGTTTGATATTTTCCAAATCCAAAACCTCAAAAAATGTTTAAGGTTACAGAGATGAGCCACCTTCCTAGCGAAGCCAATACATCAGCTTGTAGGTCACAGGTGAACTGGTTTCGCTACTCATACTTCATCACGCCTCTGCTGCATTGCTCATCTGAGACCTGTGTCCTGAATGGTTACGGAACGAGACAGCGTGACTGGCCCTGGATGCCCGGGATGATCTCCCTGTTAGATTAGTCCGACTGTCTTCTTGCTGGCTGAGGAAGTGAGATGGGGAGCTGTGGGGGTTGGAGCTGGACCCCCCCTCCCCACTCAGCATGGTCATGGGGCGTCCCGAGGCCTTCTCGGGGACGTAGAGATTCCGTGTGGAGACCAGACTGGGGCGGCCCTCTCTGTGAAAATGGAATATATAAAAAAATAAATAAATTAAACAAATAATGCAAAAGTGCTTTAACTGCAAATCTACTTGGTCATTATTGTTAAAAAACACTATTGGTCACTTTTATTCTTCCTTTATATTGTTTTAATTTTCGTTAAGGTCTGAGATAAGGTAAAGTGAGTATTCTTAGTTTCTGTTTGCTACAACTGCTAAAATGTGCAAGGCCAATGAAGTTGTTGCTTCTGAAGGTTTAAGTAGAAATACTGCTTAGTAACACATCATAAGTAGCACTTTCAATCGATGGCAGCATATGTATTCAAGTGTTCTTACTCAATAGGTGGCAGTATAGGTATTCAAGAGCACTTACTCAATAGGTGGCAGTCCTACAGTCTTGTAGTGATGCCAGCCCTCTATAAAGGAAGGTGACAACCTGGCTTTGCTGCAGTAATACTTCAGGGCTTTCATCAAGTAAGGGTCCTTGCGACACCTGGGACAAGTGGAAGGAACACATAAGCTTTGACTCAAAGAACCTTGTGAAACTCAACACAAAATTAACAAAATCCTCTGTTAATAAAGTGTGGGAATTTGCCCAGCATAAACAATATTATATATAAGTTATATATAAGTTTAAGGCTTTTCAAAACTGTAAATTAATAATTTTAATTGTCCTACATTTTTTCAGTTTTAAGCACTGAGAGTACTTGATACATAAATTGATTACAACAGATGTATATTATGTTTATTTTCATGGCCATAACACAAGAATCCAGTATCTTTAAATTTGAATGATTTGTTAGTGTAATTGATGACCAGTTGTGTTTACCTGTTCAGTAACTGTCGTTCAGCATCATGGTTATGAGACAGGTACCCCAGAGCGACGGCCGCACACCCCTGGACCAACTCCGCGTCGACCAACATCAGGTTACATAGTAAATCTACAGCATGGATTGAGACAATAGCTGCAGGAACACCTACAATAACAATAACAATATAGTAAATCTGCAGCATGGATTGAGACAATAGCTGCAGGAACACCTACAATAACAATATCAATGCAGTAAGGCCCCGTTCACATGACAAGTCTATTTTCTAAAAATCTATTTTCTATTCGCGGTATCTTGTAATCACGGTCAGTGCCCTGAATACCCCACGGCGTAATTTCCGGCAGCGCGAGCCAGTTACTTCCAAAGCTGTAATTAATTCTTGGCTGTGCTCAGAGTGATCACAAGATACCGCGAATAGAAAATAGATTTTTCATGTGAACGGAGTCTAAATCTACAGCATGGATTGAGCAACAGCTGCAGGAACACCTACAGTACAATAACATTAAAATGGTAACACTATAATTACAAAACAAAATCAATAAAGAAATAATATACAGTAATACAGTGATTTTACAATAACAAAGTAAGAATAATTTTAACACAGAGCAAGAAAAAAAAAACAGTAACAACACAATAACAAAATAATGGTCATGAAAAAGCAGTATAATGTCATGACAAGGAAATAAATATAAATCACAATTACAAAACATCAATATCACAGAGTTCAGCATCAACTGAGCATCTACCAGCATTTGCTTCACGACGTTTGTGTGTGTGTGTGTGTGTTGTGTGTGTGTGTGCATGTGTATGTATACTATATATATGTGTGTGTGAATGTGTTTATGTGCATACACTGGGTATATGTGCACATACATGTGTATATGTGTGCACATCTGCATGTATGGGTGTGTGTACTTGTATGCATGCGTGTGTGTGTTTGCATATATGCACATGTGTGTGAAGAAGGTACGGGGATCATAGTGAAAAGCATGTCAAGATATCTACACTATCAGCCAAGGTCCCTCTGCCCTGACTGGCTATTAGGGATCGTTCACATGGAAAAAATCTATTTTCTATTCGCAGTATCTTGTGATCACTCCGATCGCAGCCGAGAATTAATTACAGCTTTGGAAGTAACTGGCTCGCGCTGCCAGTAATTATGCCGCGGGGTATTCAGGGCACAGACTGTGATCACAAGATACCGCGAATAGAAAACAGATTTTTAGAAAATAGACTTGTCATGTGAATGGGGCCTTAGGTGGGAAGAAGAAGGTAGGTAGGAGGGGAAGGACTGTAGGGATTCTCCTTACCTGCTCTAGTGTGTGCCAGCCTAGCCAGACAATCTGCTGCCAAACTCTGTATGGTCTCACTCTGAGACTCCTGTATGAGATCTACGAGTAGTTTGATACCTTTGGCAGATGACACGGCTTGCTCCTCATCTGGGATGATTCTAGAGAGAACGACCACCTGGAGAGAAATTTTTTTAATGTGTTATACATGACTTGTATGTAAAAATCTTGCACCAAACAAACATAAGTGACATAAGATAGGGGGAAACAGGGAAGGTACTTTTGACTGATTCTTGCTAATTTTTATCCAATTTAGTGACAATTTTTTCTTCAACAAGAACTTGGCTAAAGCGCTATACATCTAGATGACTTCAGTCAAAATTTTAGAGGACTTTTTATCAATTTTAAAAAACACTCCCCTGAATTCCTACCTGAAATGCAGCATTACAACGGAAAAACTCATCCACGGAGACCAGGAAGGGCTCAAAGCAATTGAACCTCACGCCACCTTGCTCTGCTATTTCCCGTTGCTGAGTCACGCTGTTGAATGCAAACGCCGCCAACGCAGCTCCTGCCAGGAGCCGCACCAGAGGATCTTGGGAATACATCATGCGTAGAATTCGAACGTAGCTAAACTCCACGTTTGACTGGATTTCCTTCATGACTTCTTCATTACCTGGAGGGTACAATGTTATCATATGAGAAATGAATAATAAATACCAAATAGTTCAATGTTATACTGGTATAGTTTCGTGCTTTCACTGGTCAGTTTTTCAAATACCAAATAGTTCAATGTTACACTGGCATAGTTTCGTGCTTTCACTTGTCAGTTTTTTAATAACAGCACACAAGTTTTCTTCCCTGCTAACTTAACCTACATCACTTCTAGATGTATTTCCAAGGAGCATATATCACACTAACAAAGTAATAAGAATTTGACTGACTTCTCTTGGTGAAGGGGGATGTGTTTTCACAAGCAATTGCTTGTGAATAAAAAGAAAGCATGAACAGTTTTCCCCTTTATGTTTTAAGAAGGCAGGGACAGTTTTCCCCTACAGTATCCTAGCAATGACAGAAACATTTCATAGGAATGGAGGTAAATTCCCTGTGATCCATGAGGGCGCCATACAAAACACCAAAACAGTGGTTATAGCAATTATTCTGGACTCTGCTTTCCATCAAGCCACATGGGCCTTAATAGATGGTTATACCTCCATGAAAATATCTTCAGGGATTATTGCAAAATACCAACTTTTTATTAAAAAAAAAAAAAAAAAAAAAAAAAAAAAAAAAAAAAAAAAAAAAAAGACTTTGAATGTCTGAATGGAATCATTAACCACTGGTAAGTATGGGAAAATTGTCATTTGTCCCACAAAAAAAAACCATTTTTTTTTTTACCAAAATGAACAGTTGTTATCCCTTTCAGTAAAAGGGACTGAGGAATCAATAGGGAACAAATAAAAATGCAAAGAAAGCAAATGGGAATTATAACAATCTGCTCTCAAGTCCAACAACAACATTAACTCCTGCCCTTCTCATACATAATGCAGCTTGTAGAATCCACTGTATACAAACCAGGGCTGTATACATTGGTGGCATGTTTCTCCAAACTTTACTAAACAATGACCTTTCAAGAACAAAATGAAAAGAGCTTTCTTTAAGCAAGCTGTGGTGTTTTGACTACTGGTACTGTACTAGAATGCAGGATAGTTTAGGTCTGGTTTAGAGCCCTTAAACATGGCAGACATAATATGTACCTAAGGTTGGGTTGAGTTTTTTTTTTTTTTTGTAATTTATGAAAAAGAAAGCGTTATTTCAAACAATGGGGATTGCCCCACCAAGGAATTGCCTTACTATAACAATTTCTCCACCTCTGTTGAATGGCAGGCTAGCTGTCTGGACAATAGCTTTTGTTTGAAAATCTTTAGACTCCAAAGACGTCTGTGGGAATGAACATCTGAATGTTTCTCATTTTACATACGGAATGCTACGGCATATGTCAATCAATTTATACTAGAAGCCTTTCTTGCCGTCTTACTATGTACAGTAGGTAGTTTGAAATAATTCCAATATTATATAACTCTTGCAAACAAAATTCTCAATCTGAAAATTGATTACACTGTACCCATTTAATTTAAACAAAATTAAAATAAAACATTTCCCAAATTGAGTTAACAACTTACAGTAATTACTCAATCTTTTCAATGAGGGAAAATTGTTTATTTTACAGATACTGTATTTCATAATTAAGTCATAATTTCTGGAAATAAGAACATAAATATTGAGTGGTAGCAAGAAAATTAAAAAGCAGGCATATCTATAGTTTTTCTATTCTATGGAGTAAAAGCACGACAAGCTGTACAGAAATATAATTTTTGAATTATAAAATAATGTCTGAAATTTGGATAATTTTTGCCCATTGTAAAGATCGAGTAATTACGGTACTTTGAGAGATGACTTTAGAGTTGTGAAATTTTCTTCACACAGATCCTACTCACCCAGACATACACAACCCAATGTTTGAGCAGCTTCAACTTTTATCAGTTCATTCTCTGGATGAACCATCAGAGCTACGAGAAACTTGATTCCCCGCGCCTGACTCAGTGAATTCTGATTGGGCAAATGGGGAACGTAGCCAACACCAACACAGAGATACCGTAGAGTCCTTATAGCACTCAGGACTATATGCTCTTTATCTGAGCGGAGAAGTCTTACAAGTGAATGAATGCCATTGGCATTACCAATTTCTGTCTGTTTATTTAACGCCCCACGAGATAAGACCCCCAAGGCCTCTGAGCCAATAAGATGCAGCTTCTCTGACCCTGTGCTCAGGAACTCGATCAGTGTCTGTACGCCAATAATGCTAGCCATGGAGCGTTGCTCTTCAATATAGTCTCCAGCCTCCGCCCACAGGGCAGCCGCCGTTTTCTCCTGAACACGCTCGGCTCGGCTTTTCTTGAGCAAGTTATTCAGAGGAATCAAGGCGCCCTCCTCTTTGATAGTCTTCTGAGTCGAGCTGTTATTCTCAGCTAAATACCTAATGGCGTCAACAGCTGACAGCTGCAGGTCTCTGTTTTTGAGGCCGGTGAGGGTGATGATGTGCGCGGCACCACCCTCCTCCACAATGGCGTTCTGGTTGTTTTTATTGTTACAAGCGATCTTACTGATGCTGATAGTCAAAGCCATGAGTAGATCCTGGTTTTGTGCCTCTTCTAAGTGTCCCACCAGGGCTTGGACGCACCCTGACGTGTTTCCTATGGTTCCTTGGTGGGCCTCTCCCGCCTCAGCGATAAATCCCAAGCAATACACACACTCCACAAGAACCTCGGGGTCGCGGACAGTTTGTATGACCTTGACCAAGTTGGGAATTGCCCCTGCTTGGGCAGCCTGGTCCGCCAGCTCCGTGATCCGAGAAACCTCTTTGAGGACCGTAGCTGCCAACTGTACTATGAAATTATTGGACGATTTCAAAAGTCTAACCAGTGCAGGTATCCCGCCAGAGGACGCCACCTGTTCTTTTACAACATCCTCAGGAATGAGGTTTATCAGACAGTGTAATGCTTCTGTCTTAGCTCTGTCGCCTATCTGGCTTTTTATGACCTTCACAATGATTGGAACGCCACCGTTATCGACCACCGCCTTCCAGTTGGGGTGCATTCCCTCGGAACTCCCCTGAGTGAGAGTGCGTAGACATTTCCCCGCTGACTCGGCCTCATCTTCAACTTCAGAAGATAGGTAGTTCAGTAAACGTTTCCAAACTGGAAGATCCTCAAAGTTCTTTTCCAGAAAGAAGTCTAGAATCTCAATGAAATGCTTGTTTGCTGACAGCTCCACAACGCCATGATTCTGGTTGTTGATGGCATTCACCTGATGAAACAGTAAAATAAACAATATATCTGTTAAGGGTAGTTTAACATCAAATTAAAATTATTTTTTTTTTTTTACTTAAATTTTTCTTTGATGAAGTTATTGTGTCAAATATGAAAAAGATGATTCCAAAATTTAAAAAGAGTTGATTTTCATGTCAGAAGGATTATCTTTTTTTTAAGTGACTATAATGAGAAATCTTTGTAAATCCAAAAAAATTAAAGTAACAACAAAAAAATTTAAACAAAATAGAAATAAGTGAGATATATGACGTGTATTGAGTAGTCACTGAAATAAATCATTAATTTGCCAATTTCTATGACCTGCTCTTTTGAATGCCATTACAGGGTCACGTTAAAATGAAACATTGTCTCAACATAAAGATGAGTTGTATCTGAAAATCTCACCTTGGCACCGAGGGAGATGAGACACTCAACTGTCTCCTTGTTTCCATTGGTCACTGCCAGTAATAGTGGCGTAGAGCGATATTCATCTTCTGTCTCCAACTCCAACTGGTCTTTATTGGCATTGACGAACCTCTCAATGGATTTTATGAACCCTCGGAAGGCGGCATGATGGATGTGGTACCATCCGTTCTCGTCTTTCTCATTCATAGTTGCTGCTAGACGGGTCGCAGCAACTGTTTGCTGAGCCCTGGATTGGAAGAAAATGAAAAAAAAAACATGTCATGAAATACTTTTTTTATAAAAAAAAACTGTTTTCCTGAAACAAAGTATCTTTTAGTAATGGTTTGCAAAGTTAAGATCTAAATAACTAGTAAAGACTGCTGAAAGTCCATAAATGGAAGACAAAATTAAGAAATGGAACAAAAACTGAGAGTTGTTGTTTATACGTCAAAACCATTCCTTTTAAATTTAGAACTGAAATTAAAAGAGCATACACTATATGGATTAAGGCTGCGTGGTCAACAATATTCTATCCAATATCCTTTGTAATTAAAAATATATTTGTTTTCAAAAAGTACTCAGTACTTGACATGATAAATGCATAAACAATAGCACTTGACTACCAGTAACAGCTAATCTCATATAATGTGTTGGCATGTTTTCTCAAAACATCCCCAAAAACATTAACAACAACACAGAATAACAAGACCATACCCACTAGATATTGTCAACAAAGATTTTAAAACATGCCCGCTTCAATAAAAACAAAATTCGCTTGAGATATTTTAGCAATATTACCAAGATATGTAGCATTTGAGGTGAAAGACTTACCAAACTTTAAAGCTTCTACTAGATATTCTCAACAAAGAATTTTTAGACATTTTACAGCCTGCCTCAATAAAAAACAAAATCCACTTAAGATTTTTATCAAAAATACTAGTATATGTACATAGAGCATTTGAAATGAAAAAACTTACAAAACTTTAAACCCTTTACCACGACAGTCAGCCATTTTCTCTTTAACTACCCGAGAAAACACAAACATTTCAAGTCACAATAATAGGCAACATTATGTTCAGGCAGGAATTCAGGGGATGCAAAACTAATCCAAACTCCTAATAAATTACAGCTTGTATTTGTTAAAAGGCTGCAATAACTGTGTGGCTGTTATTTATATCTGTGCCCTGACAGCCAGTACACATAAACACGTGGAGGTAGTACACAGCAATATATAACACTATAACACCAAGATCAGTCCACTCGGACACTGACTTAAACCCTGACTGCATGGTGGTGCTTAGATTACATCGCAAGACTAAAAAAAAGTGAAAATATGTAAAAATAAAAAGGAAAAAAGGCAAAGGAAAAAAATAGAATGAAATGAAATGAAATAATATTATATTATATTTATAATGAAATAATAATATAATATAATATAATATAATGAATTGTGATATATATATATATATATATATATATATATAATTTTACACCTACTTAATTATGTAGTTGTATATTAAGCAGTTGGAGCTTTTTACTCCACTATGGGAAGAGCTGCATCTACTCTGCTGGCTAAGACATTTGTAGCGAGAATTTACTTAATTGTTACATATGCATGTGTTCTTAGGAACTTTTCACATTCAGTAATTTACTAAACTGGACTCATCAACTTCGGGATATTGACAATGTAAGTAGTCTGGAAATATTTGGTGTCTATTATTACAGTCTATATAATTAAATAGATGTATTGAGCACATTTTTTCAAATAGAAAACTGCCCTTTAAAATAGATTTTTTGTTAGTGTCTCATCAAAGTTGCCAAAACAATTACTGAGTATTTATTAGATGTGCATTCTACTGACAACTGCCAAATGAAATGGAACTTTATTCAAAATCATTTTCAAAAGGGATGCCAAATTAATTATGTAAAGTTCAAAAACACATATCATCAGAATTTAGAATGTATAATTTTATGATAATTTATACAGTGAGGTACTCTATATTTGTGTTACCATATATTTGGTAAGCACAGAGCTTAAATTATTTTCATTCCACTCATTCTTTTTTACTATCCAGTAACAAATTATGTTTTTTGGCCCTTAGCTGGGGGGAGGGGGGGTATGGAGGGGGGGGGGGGAAACAATCTGCCATTTTTGTTGGGAAAAGGTCAGCTTTCAAAATTGACCTAAACACATAAAAGTTTATGTTAAAAGGTCCATTTTTACTACCTCTTAGAAATTGCTGGCCATGGGCCTGTTTCAATAAAAAAAAATCAAAATGTGTTGCTTTTCATCCTTGACTATATTAATTGGCATTATACCAGTATATGTATATATGGCGGTACTGTACCAGTATGTTATCACGAAGAACACCCAGGGGCGGATTTAGGCTGTCTTCTGGGTCTTCCGGAAGACGGTCAGATTTTAAAGTTTATATTGACGGGTATCTATTATTTTCTGTTGGAAGACGGTCAAAAATTGAAGATGAATTAAACAAAGATAATTTGGAAGACTGTCAGAAAATATCTCTGGTTCCGCCCCTGAACACCAACTATAAAACCTAAATTTTATGATAAATAGTGATCAGATATCACACTTCCATCAATGGACTGCATAAACTGCATTAGAACTCTTCACTGAGTAAAATTCAATAAATAATATCTCGAGCACAAATACAGTAGCAGAGAATGAATTATGAACTTCTGCAGTAGAACAGAAACCTTCCCCCTTCTGCATCTTTTTAATGACATCAGGTTAAGAATAACAGTAAAACATTTAATGATTTAAAGCCATCTTACTGTATTGCCATGTTATAATGCAGGCCAGGCTACAATAAACACACTTGACTCAAAGACCATAAAGCCATAATATATCGTCAAGAACTCTTCACTTCAGTGTCTTCTCTGGAGATGTAGTCGCCACTTTATGTACCCCTTATCGACTCAAGGGCTTCATTCTTTAAACAGAAGTTATCCCTGTTAGTAAATGTACAGCTTAAAGTACCAAGGCCTACTTACGGGACGAATTTCTGGCCCCCGTTTTTTATTTAGGACTCTTCAATCAAAACTTGATCACAGTTCCAACATGCAAACAGCCTTCAGGGAAACAAAGTAAGAAACATCGTTTTTGTATTTGTCCCCAATGGCGTCAGTGTTGTTGCCTTCTAAAATGGATACTTTGTGTATTTCCTTTGCTAAGTTTCGGGGCAATTATACTATTTACTCACCTTTCGAGCCTTTGACAAGTTCCGGATATTAATGTTCTTCTGCAAACCCGTTTGACTTGGCAACAACCTGCTCGTTGTTTCCGCAGTCGCGCGTTTCTCGCTATCTGATTGGTCGCTATGTAATCAATAGTTGGGTAGACGGTGCTGCCGTCTCGCGGTAAACAAAAAAATCTACTGTAAATCACCTGGCAAGGCATACATATCATTTACAATATAAAATCATTAAATTAGAAATGAAATGAATAATTGAATCCACGTGCAAGGAAGGGGTTGACAATAACTCAATTGCTTTTTCCCCCCACAAGGAAAATTCATTTTGGCAGGTAAATCCAATACAGACTTTTGATTAAAATCACTTTTATGATATTTAGTATTGTACATGTACGTACAGTGTAGCATTAAAATGTTGAAATAGACAGTTAAGGAAGTCAAAATTTGAATTCTGAGGCTAATTCTACAGTTTTGTCATAATGATTATAGGAAAAGGAAAGGCTGTTTTCAGTAAGCAGGGATAATGGGAATACACAGCAATGTAATCAATCAAAAGAACTATATAAAATAAAAATAATAAATTAAAATTAAATAAAAAATGAAATTTTATGCATGAGAGAGAGAGATAGATATAGAGAAGTGAGAGGAGGAGAGGTATAAAAAACAAAGTATCATTTACTGTTATATACCAGTAATTGTTTTATATTAAATTTTATTTTATATTAAAATAAACACATTTTATTGTTTCAGCAATATACTAATGTAAAAAAAGCCATTTAAAACATATACCTGTAGAATTTAACATATTATAATCATTTCCATTTTAATGTTAAATTAATGATAAAACATCACAGGTGATTTCACTAACAAGTGTTGGCTAAAACAGAATACATATACTCTGAGAAAACGTTTACATAAATTCAAGTTTTTTTAACAACATAATTCTTCATTTCACAACCATTTTACTAAAAATCAACTGATGCTGATTGAAATAAAATTGAATTCATGATTGATTTTCAGTTTTAATCTTAAAAATATGTATCACATTAATTTACCATGATTGGTTTTATAATTCTATCTCCTTTAATTTACCACATTCTGATTCAAATACTTTCATAATTTATCACCACTTTATTAATTTAGTATTCCAAATCAAAACTAAAATAATACAGATTTCATGATATCTCTGAATACAAGAAGGCACCACTGAAGATTTTTTTGCTTTCCCTTAAGACACAAATGAAAGCTTTAAAAGATACCACAGATGTGACACCTAAATCACTTTCCACAACCTAAAACTGTATTGTACAGTATTTGAATAAATATGAGTTAAAACTACTATGCAACAATGACATGTGAGGAAAAGCCCCCCAAATTGCAATAATCCATGTGCTTTCATCAAAAATAATCATTTTGACAAATACATTTGATTCATTCCTATGTAATGTACCAAATAATAATTCCGCTTAATGTATTTCTAACTAAAAATTGAGATTTTCTGAATCAACGGATCCCCCCATAGAAACATATGGCAAAGCATATAATTTCTTCAGCTAGCCAAAGAGTAAAACACAATAGGAAAATGGAAATGAGTTTCTCTGGCAGTACAGGGGAGGGTATCAGAAGTTGCAGAAGACAGGTTCTATACAAATTCTATTTCATATTTTTGTGCACTGCTCCAATATAATACCATGGGTAGGATTGTACTTTCCATTTTTGTTATCACGTGATCAAGAATCTGGGCGTGATGCATTATAATGATGCGTATGGCACGGAGTGGAAAGATTTCCAACTGGAATTTTTTCTCTTCACATTTATTGTCCTGTCATGATATCACTGGTTGTCCCATCTTAATCTTCTCCAGTAACTTTATCTATTGTCCCGTCATGATATCACTGGTTGTCCCATCTTAATCTTCTCCAGTAACTCCATTTCTTTCTTCATCAGCCATTCATCGTATGGGGTTCTCTGGCGCTCCTTGGGCTTGTACTTCTCTTTAATCTAAAATGGGATAAAAATCAAAGATTAGCGAATTTGGCAATATATAGGCTTATAGGATGACTGTGAAAGTATACGGTATATGGTTCTTGTCAAAAAAGAAAGGAACATTTCTGACATTTACCCACAGTTGTTATATGGTAGAGTTTATTTAAAATAAATTCATTTACTTGTTAAAAAGTTCATATACTTTTAGGTGTTTTATAGTTTCTTAAAGGTTATAAAAATAGTCACTGGTTCACTTATCAAAATTATGCGTAAAAATGGAGAGACTTTCCCATTTGCTTGAAATTAGCATAAAACATAAGTTTATATACATAACTTAAGTAAAAACAGACTGTAATAAAATGGTTTAAGATGAAGGAGTGCAAAATTCATAAGAAGCATCCCTAAACAGAACATGCATTAGAGTCACACCCCACATTATTTTATGACCCAATCAGAAAGTTTAGGAATCAATTATATCAAATAATACAGTGGACATGTATATCATTTCAAGATTCTTGTTGTTTTCCTTACTGAGAAAAAAAAAGAAGAAAATTTAAAAACTTGTAACCTGAACCAAACTAATCAGTAAGTAAACAGAAAAAAACTTTTTAAAAGCCACCTTACACAAAAAATAGAAGTGCATTTGCACATTAGTCGAGTAGCCAGAACGCTAACCCTGCAATGTTTTTTCCTGTAAACTTTTTTCGCTGAAATGCATTCCTTAGGTCGAGAGAAGCAAAATTAGCTTGGTTGCTATTTCCGAGACCTTGAGCATTTTTCAATATGGCCGTCAATTTATGAGAAAAAATAG